GTGATCATGACTATCAAGATCAGGATGAGGGAGGACGACGAGGACTAGGACGAGGACGAGGACGGTGACGACGACGACGACGGTGATGATGGTGATGATGATGATGCTGATGGTAATGGTGATGATGATGATGATGCCGATGGTGATGATGATGACGATGATAATATTGGTGATGCTGACGGCTCTTATGATGACGACGATGATGATGCAGGTACTGTTGAGGTTGATGATGATGATGATGATGGTGGTGGTGGTGAGTGTGATGGTGATGATGACTTTGATGATGGTGATGATGATGAGGATGAGGATGATGACGACAACGGTGTTGACGTCACCGATTGGTGTGATGGTGGTTTTGCTGATGATGATTTTGATGCGGCTTTTGATGGCGAGTGTGATTGTGATGCCGAGGATGAAGATGATGATGACCATGCTGATTCGGATCGTACTAAACATGATGATGACGATGACTCGCGCGGTCGTCAGAGTCCCCTCTTTGTGGTGGGCAGTCGCCCAGATGTTCCCGAAGGTCTTTTCGGGGATCATCCTTGCGACGGTGGCGGCGGCGGAAGCGACGACGACCATACCATGATGATCATGTCCATAGTGTTTATGATGATGATACTGCTGATGACAACGACGATACTGAATCTGATGGCGATGAGGATCATGGTGATGATGCGGAGGAAGAAGGGGACGAACATGTTGATGCTGAGATTTGCGACGGTGGCTATGATATTGGCGATCTTGAGCATGATGATGATGACGACGATGATTATGATGATGCTGATGATCATGATGGTGGTCATGATTACGGTGGTGATGATGGGTGTCATATGATGGTGATGATGATGCTGATGACGATGATGATGGATTCTCCCCCCAATCGACGGCCGCGCTCAAGTTGTAGCCCGCGCTACAACTTGAGCGCGCGCGAGGCGCGCGCTATGGTTCTAGTGCGCATATGCACACATAGCCGGGGACCCAGCCCGGGGGCCCCGGGGCCGGAGGTTTGACCACCAATTGGATGCCCAGGGGCCCAGGGCATTCTTGGGGGGGCCCATATCTCTATAGAGCGCGCAATCAGCCGTCACGGCGGTTCAAGGGGAGCCGGAATCGCTCCCCACTTGGCTTCCAAAGGATTCAGACGGCTAAAGAAGTCTCCAGGCGCCTCCCCCAGACGGCCCCAGGAGACCTTCCACGATGCTTCCGAGAAGCCCCAAACCTTCAACAACCAAGTGGAGACCTATGATTGTTGCCTTCTCGCCGTTTCGCTTCCGATGGGCTGCTTAAAGGCTCCAAGATCGCCCTCAAGGGGCCATCAGTAAGCCCCAGGACGCCCCTTCGAGGACCCCAAGGGGTCACAAGAGGCTTCCAAAACGCCCTTGAGAGGCCCAAAAAGTATCCGCGAGGCCCACAACGAGACCCCCGCAAGAGGCCCCCCAAGAGGTTCAAAGAGACCCTAAGAAACCACACAAGACCCCCCCCAATGTCGCCGAAACGCGGCCCTACCGATGTGACCTGGCAGGGTTTTCTGGCCTTCGTTGCACCGTGGCTTGGCCCCATACGTCGGGCCCAGTGAATTCAAGGTGGACGTCTTCGCACACACCGATACATTCTTATAGATACGTACATGTGATCGCTTGCACCTGATGGAGCGCGTCGACTGGCACCACCCCCTCTACCTCCACCAGTGGGCGGAGGCGTGCATCTTGAGCTGATCCATGGTTCTAGCGCCAGGTGCTGGGGCACCAGGGCCAGAGGGCTTCAAAGGGTTTTTTTTGGGGGAGGGGGTTTTCCAGGAGGGGCCCCCCAGGGGCTTCGCACCCCCTGTTTTGACAAGGTTCCGAGGCCCTTCGGGGGTTCTCTGGAAAACCCCCTCCCCCAAAACCCCCTTTTGCGACCCTCCGGCCAGGAGCCTGGGCCCCAGGCTGGCGCACCCCGGGTTTCTATCCCGCCTTCCGCCCCTCCCTCCAGAGCCTCTCGGGCCTGCCCCTCGGCCGCCCAGAGCGAGTGCAGCAATGAGCGGGCCACCAGCAGCTCGAACGTGTCCCAAGCGGCTGACGGTGCGGCTCCAGCGCGCCTCCTGACGGGCCTCTAGGGGACCCGAAGAGCTCCCCTCACGGCCCTCCAAAGAGACCAACATACTTGATTTCCCATCGGCTTTCATCTGATTTTCTCATATTTCCCCACATCCAAAGTTGGGTTCTTGTTTTCTCTGCACACCCCGCGCAGGAACACTCACCCCATCTTCTCCTCGCACTCATTCACACACACACATCATCATCACTCGCACTCTCTCACACGCTCACGAACATCATCGTCATCATCGGTATCGGCATCATCCTCATTCAAACATCATCATCGCCACCACCACCCACAATCAATCATCATCCTCTTCACCACTCATCTTCACCACCACTCATCATCCTCATCCTCATCATCGTTGAGTAAAGTGTGAGGAAGTCTCAGGCGGGAGCCCCCTCCCTATGGGGCCCGCAGATCATGTTGGTAATCCGAGCGGGTCATCGGAACCCTGTAACTGTCGTCACTTTTGGGCTCCCCAGGCCTGAAAATGGAGGAAGTCTCAGGCGGGAGCCTCGTCTGTGAGTGAATTGGGAGGAAGTCTCAGGCGGGAGCTCCCTCCCTATGGGGCCCGCAGATTATGTTGGTAATCCGAGCGGGTCATCGGAACCCTGTAACTGTCGTCACTTTTGGGCTCCTCAAGCCTGAATATGGAGGAAGTCTCAGGCGGGAGCCTCGTCTGTGAGTGAATTCTGAGGAAGGCTCAAGCGGGAGCCCCCTCCCTATGGGGCCCGCAGATCATGTTGGTAATCCGAGCGGGTCATCGGAACCCTGTAACTGTCGTCACTTTTGGGCTCGTCAAGCCTGAATTTGGAGGAAGTCTCTGGCGGGAGCCTCGTCTTTGAGTGAATTGTGAAGAAGTCTCAGGCGGGAGCCCCCTCCCTATGGGGCCCGCAGATCATGTTGGTAATCCGAGCGGGTCATCGGAACCCTGTAACTGTCGTCACTTTTGGGCTCCTCAAGCCTGAATATGGAGGAAGTCTCAGGCGGGAGCCTCGTCTGTGAGTGAACTGCGAGGAAGTCTCAGGCGGGAGCCCCCTCCCTATGGGGCCCGCAGATCATGTTGGTAATCCGAGCGGGTCATCGGAACCCTGTAACTGTCGTCACTTTTGGGCTCGTCAAGCCTGAATTTGGAGGAAGTCTCTGGCGGGAGCCTCGTCTTTGAGTGAATTGTGAAGAAGTCTCAGGCGGGAGCCCCCTCCCTATGGGGCCCGCAGATCATGTTGGTAATCCGAGCGGGTCATCGGAACCCTGTAACTGTCGTCACTTTTGGGCTCCTCAAGCCTGAATATGGAGGAAGTCTCAGGCGGGAGCCTCGTCTGTGAGTGAACTGCGAGGAAGTCTCAGGCGGGAGCCCCCTCCCTATGGGGCCCGCAGATCATGTTGGTAATCCGAGCAGGTCATCCAAAACCTGTAACTGTCGTCAATGTTGGGTTCTCGCGCTGCCAGAACGCAGTTCCCAGGCCACACTTTGGATGCAACAAGGAAGTTTTTGGGCTCCTCAGGTCGCCGAGGTGCTGCGACAGGGCGCCGAAGGCGCCGACGACGACGGCCAGGCCGAGGCGCGGGCGCGGAGCTTGCTGATGTTCAGGCCCAGCGAAAGGGAGTTCACATGGCAGAGCTCGGGGGCGCACAGCGTGCGCCGCTCGGGGTTCACCCTGACGCACGCGTCCTACCTGACCTCCACGCTGTCGCAGGGCCAGACGCTGCGCAAGGGCGTCACCATCGACTGCGCGAGAGACGAGGACGCTGGCCGCACGGGCATGTCGGACGAGCAGTGGTGGCTGCACCTCTACGTCATGTTCTCCCGCGCCACGTGCATGCGGAACATGCTGATCCTGCGGCCGCCGCCGCGAGAGTTCCTGGAGTGCGGGCCGCCGGCGTCCCTGCGGAAGGCGCTCCTGGAGTTCGACAAGAGAGCGGTTTTGTCCAGGGCGGAGGCGAAGCAGCTCGCGGCAGAGCTGGGTTTCGTGCTGCCTTCCGCCTGAGCGCGGCTGCGCCTCGCTCGAAGCCCGCGGGGTTGTCCCAACGGCTTGGTCTTGCGCGCCAGCGGCTCGCGGGGTTGTCCCGACAGCCTGGCCCGCGGGGTTGTCCCAACGGCTGCGCGACGTGACCTGTAGAGAACGCGCCTGTGCTGGCCGTGGCGGCGACGGCGCCGAGGAACATCGACATGCGCGCTCATGCAACAGGAAGGGGAGGAGGTGGCGGGGCGCGGAACAAACAGGGGGGCGAGGATGGGGACAACGTAAGGAGTGGAAGGGGGGCCCGCGCCAAGGCGAGAGGAAATATACGCAGAAGAGACAGCCAGGACGCCTCACCAACCACGAGGACGACGGTGATGGTTTTTTCCAGATTCGCCCAGAGGATTCTTATGTGGGGTTCTTCCGTCGGAGTAATTGCTATTCCGCTCCTCAGGGGCACATTGAAGTTGCCACTTTCCCCCGGACTCCTCTCCCTTAGAGTGGTCAGACGGCGTGGTCCGCAGGCAGTAATCCAATGAGCACTGGAGGCCCCAAGTCCTGCTGAGAAGCATACTTTCGCTTGTGTCCGCTGAGGGAGGCGAGACTCCTTTGGATCCGATTCTCAGCTTCCCCCCTCCTTCCGTTCCATTTCTTTTCCAGTTTGTTTCCTCGCCCGAGACAGGGAGGGACGCGCCACAGTGCGATAACCCCCCGCCCACCGGTTCAATATGTTTTGGTTCCAGTGGGTTTGGCCCAGTGTCGTAGCGGGCCCGAGAGGCCCTTCAGCCAGGGGTCCCGCAGACAAATTCTGCAGAGCCGTATGATCCGCCAGAAGCGAACAGTTCGATAAAAGCACTGCAGAGTCTCACGGAGGTAGAGATGTGGACTCACCAGCTGCCCAGGCTTCCGACTCCGACTTCCTCTTCGCCCGCAGCTTTTCCGCCCCGCCCGCAGGACTTCTGGACGGCCTGCAGCCCGTGCTGAAGCCGGAGCAGCCGATCGCGAGCCCCGAGGACCTGATCGCACCGTTCCCCGAGATCCCTTCGACGTCGCCGGGTGCTCCCAGGAATCGCCGAGCGCGTGCCACTGCTCGCAAAGTGCCCACTCGCAAGCGCCCGAAAAACACGTCTGCTTCTATGTAATGTATCGGAAGATGATAGCTCATTCTGCTGATAGGTGCAGGAACCCTAGCTGACGTAACGCTTCAATGATGAATGAATGTAATTTACCGTAGATCCCCCGCGGCAGATCCAGGGCATTTGCGAGTCGGCTATTTTGCGAGTAGTGGAGCGCGCTCGTCTAGGGAAGGAGACGCGATGGCGGCGGCGGCGAAGCGACGTCGGACGGCCGAGGTCCGATCGGCATCGGTCCTGTCGTGGAGCCGTCTGAGGGTGGTCTGAGGTGTCCCAGCACTGTCGGGGGTGGACAGACCTCCTACCCTGACACGTCGATCATCAAATTGGCCGTTTTCGGTTCGCGAGAGGGCGTCGCGGCCGCCATTTTTGTGGGTCCAGGTCCGTCGGTTTCGGTCCCAGGCCGTTTTCACTAAAGGGTGGTTTATTAAAGAGAGGTTTGTCCACCACCGACACTGGTTCCGGCCAGCAGGAGGGGCGGCCATGTTTGAGGTGCTGGGTGCGGGGAGGTGTTCTGCCTTTTTCGGCATCTGGGGGTCGTTTTCGGGCCCTGGGACTGCGGAAAACCTATCTCGGGCGAAAACTTGCACCAGCTGGACCCCAGGAGGTGTCCGGGGACCGATGTGGAGCGGATTTGGCTTCATCCCCCCTCCTGACTGCCGAGCATTTTCTTGGGGTGGAGGGCAAAGGGTGAAATCTCAAATCTGGATTTCACCCGGAGCCCTCCACCCAAAGAAAGTGTTCAGGACCGGCAGTCTGGGCTGCCTCGCCGATGCAGAGCCCCTGGCCGCCTCCGAGTCCCGCCCAGCAGCCGCCCAGGATCGGCCCGAGGCGGACGAGGCCTTGCCTTGGGGGTGGCTTGGTGTAAGTCGGGCGTGTCCCTCTACATGAGGAACATTCAAAACTAGGGGAAAAAAGTAGGGGGACGATTTTTTGATTAGTTTTGATCATTTTTGCATATGCTTTTGATTATCTTCAGTTTTTCATCCAAAATCCCCCTGTAGGGGAACACGTCCGGCTTAAGGCTTGGTGTCGACGACTCTGGGACAGTTTCGTGAATCACAAGACGGCTCGCCAGCTTGACATTCATGGGGTGCGCCAAGAGTTGGCACGAGGGCTAAGAACGACGCCATCTTCAGATTGACACCCTCTTGTTATTCGCATTTGGGCCCCACCTAGGAATGCTCCTGTTCGGGATATCTCCACGGGCACTCGGTCCATTTGCGAAGGGGCTCAAGTTCTTGATGTGCTTTCTTGCGGACATGCTCCGACTGTACGATCGAAAATGGTACGGAAAGAATTGGGATGAAGACTGACAGCAGGTCATGCCCATGATGAGCGGGACCCGCTGTCAGTGTCGCCGAAGACGTTGTCCATATGCAGCAAAATGTTGCCCGCCCAGCAGCGGTCGCTGTCGGTATTGGTACACGTTTGTTTTGTGGTATCGTATCAAGTGTTTTCGTACCCATGTCGGCGTGCCAGATCCATGGGTTGCGCCATGCGCGATCCATTTGGTTGCGCAATCCCCAGGTTCGCTACGGATTGCGCCATCCAAGTGTGGCGCAATGTTCCAGTTGCGGGTGGCCGCGAGCAAAGGGTCGGCTAGTACGCACTCGGCGGCCGATAATCACACGGCCCGATATCGATCGCGCAACAGGTAGCCAACTCGGCAGCCGATAGCCAAATGACCTTCAAATGGTTGCGCCACAGTTTGCGCAATCGTCGTCCGATAGCATAGTGGCCTGCTTTCGGTTGAGCAGATGCTGCGCCCTCGGCGGCCGAGAACACAGCGGCTTGCTATTGGTTGGGCCATCAACTGCGGCCTCGGCGGACGAGAACACAGCGGCATCCTATCGTTGAGCCATAGGTGGGGCACTCGGCGGCCGATTCTCAAACGGCCTGCGACTGGTTGCGCCACAGGCTTCGCACTTGGCGAACGATATGCACATGGCATTGCACTGGTTGCGCCATAGACTGCGCACTCGGCGAAAACAAGGCGGCCGCGTAACGGATGCGACAAGTCAGTCAGTCAGTCAGTCAGTCAGTCAGTCCAGTGCACCTCGCGAAGATCAGACTCTGGCTGCGCCCGGCACGAATTCAGGATGCCGGTTCTGGGCCTTCTTGGTCTTTCACACCTGTTCCCGGGGCCGTTCGAACATACAGTGGAGGCCCATGCCAAGAAACATTTTTCTTGCCTCCAGGGTGCCCTGGGTTTCTTGGGTTTCGATCGATGATTTTGCCATGGAAAGCGTGACGTTCCCACACCAAAAATCGATGGACGTCCTGGGGTCTCAGGGTTGGGTTTCTTGTGGAAGGTTTCTTGTGGACGGGCCCCTACTGTATTGCACGATGAAAAGCCAGTCCCTAGGAGGGGGCTCTGGGCCCAGGATGTTCGTGCACGGCTTTGGGCAGCAGGGTGGGGCCGAGGACGAGCACCGGGAGGGAAACGGACACAGACAGACGAACGTCGATTCCAGTGAACGTGAGAAAACATGCGAATTTGTCGGGAAGGCGGAGATCCAGAACGTATGTAGACACACACACACATATACATATCTATAGGATCTTGGGGCTTGTGTCTATTGATTTGTGTGTCCCTGCACCCTTTCGTAGGATGTGGAGCAGCAAGGAAGAAGAAGCATGGAGGAGGTGGAAGAGGAGAGAGGTCAGGGGCAACATCAGGGTGGAGGATAGGCTCAGGGGGGGATGCATCGTCCCCAAATCGCCCATTGATTGCTGATATGGGCTTGATAGCTCCCCCCGCCCATGCAGGCTCGGATTCGCAATTGTGGCCATATCGCCAATCCGTCGGCAATGTATCGCAGATTGAAGATCGATGTTGCCACCCCTGGGCCGCTCCTCCTAAGAACGTTCCTCTTGAAAAGGGGTCGAGGCCTTTGGAAACCCACGCTGTGGAATAATCATGGTGTTGGGACAATTCTGGGGCCGGCAAAGTGACATCCCTCCTCCCTCATCCTCATCCTTCCTCATTCTCCCTCTTCCTCCATCCTTGCCTCCTGCTCCCTGCCTCCTCCTTCCTCCCCTCCTCAACGTACTCCTTCTCCATCTTATTCCCTCTTCCTTCTCCTCCCTCTCCCTCCAGCGAATGTTTTTCTGCCAACGATCCCCTCCCCCCCCTCTTGGACCTGCTGCAGGGTGGACAGACAAGGAGGGAAACTGACGTCCTGGTCGTCGTCCCGGGCTCCTGCACCTCCCCTCCTGGGGGCACCTCTTCGTCGGGCCACGGCCCGACGTGGCTCTGTAGAACGGGTCAGGCTTTCGCCTAGGAGGCAATGGAGGCTGGTTTTGATGATGGGCCTGTTTTTCACCACCACCACAAGTTGGAGGGGGAGGGAGTCCTCCTCCCCTTCCTCCTCCTCCTCCTCCTCCTCCTCCTCTCCTCCTCCTCTCCTCCTCCTCCTCCTCCTCCTCCTCCTCCTCCTCCTCCTCCTCCTCCTCCTCCTCCTCCTCCTCCTCCTCCTCCTCCTCCTCCTCCTCCTCCTCCTCCTCCTCCTTCCCCCCTCCAACTTGTGGTGGTTGTGGTGGTGGAAAACAGGCCCATCATTCGAGCTTGGGCAGGTTCGAAGAAGGGCGCCCAGCGTGCTTTCACCCCCTCCGGCCTGCGAGCTGCAGCCCCCGACCCGGACCGAAGGGGAACGAACGAAGGCCTCAGCCGGCCGCGCCTGGCCGCCTTCGCGGGCGGGCGCGTGCAGAGGCGAAGACGCTGCGCTGCCGAGAGGAGGAGGGGGAGGAGGAGGAGAAGGAGCAGGAGGAGGAGGAGGAGGAGGCGGCGGAGGAGGAGGATGAGGAGGAGGAAGAGGAGGAGGAGGAGGAGAAGGAGGAGGAGCCGGTGCTGTCCACGCGTGCCGAAGGAGGAAGAACTGCACAGAGTTGCGCGCGGATTTCTCGGATCGGCTGTGGGCCTTTCCAGCGCCGCCCCCGGCTCGCTCCGCGCGCCAGGGAGGGGGTGTCCAGCGCCGGTTCAAAACATCTGCGCGGACCTCTCGCTGACCTCAGAAAACGTGTGTTTCCAGTGTTTCTCCCTCTAGTGTGCCTGGATCCTGGATGTTTGAGCACTCAGAGTTATTTGCGACGCTTGCAGCAGTATGAAATGTGGCAATGCCTCGTCGCGGGCTTAGATGTTTTGTTCCCCCGCCTCTGTTGTAACCCAGCTGATTCGCATTTGGATTCTCCAGCCCTTGGCGGTTCCAGCCTGCCTGTTTTGAGACGGTCTGGCAAGACAAGGGGTACTTGGGATGGCACCTTGTATGGTAGCATCGTTAACGCACCCTGGAGTTGTTCTTGTCCTCCTCCTCATCCCTCCCTCTCTCCCTCCCCCTCCGAGCCTCGACCTCCTCCCCCCTGGCCATCCGGCGCTACCTTTTGTGCAGCGCTTCGCTGTTTTGTTTGAAAGGTTTTAACGAAGTATTGAACACGCTGGGAGCCAGCGGTCTAAGTTGGTGGAGTTCGGAATTCTCTGAAGGTCGCAAAGCAGCTCGCACCAGTACGGCCCAGCACTTCGCCATATTCAGAGCCGTCTTTTCTGTCGGCATGAAGGGGAGGGATTCAATGGGGGAGACTGAATCCTCCTCCCTCCCTCCTCCCCCTCGTTCCCCTCCTCGTCCTCCTCCTCCTCTTCCTTTTTCCCCCCTGCGCCCGAGTCCTGAGCCCGGGGCCATTGCAGGTCTTTGCCTTCGGCACCTGCAGGGGTTCGTAACGCCTCCCCCCTCCCCCTCCTCCTCCCCCACCCCCCTCCCTCCAGTAGATGGACAATACATTCGAACCCTCACACATTCGAGGGATATTCTGAATCACCCCCACGCCCCCGACATCAATGTTGATCTCAGTAAAGGCGGTGCTTTGGGGTTCGAATATTTCTGTCCACTCACGCCCCCCCCGTCGCCACGCCATCAATATCAATTTCGGGGGGTCGGGGGGGGCATCTTGGGCCACAGGGTTCGAATATAATGTCCATGTACGGTCCCTCCCTGCATTATGTATAGAAGGTATAGGAGTGCCAGTAGTGTTGAGGACGGCGGGCTGCCACTCCCATCGTTCGACGACGACGATCCCCCCCCCTCCCTCCTCTCCCTCCTCTCCCTCTCCTACTCTCCCTCCCTCCACTCCCTCCCCCCCTCCCTCCCTCCTCTCCCCTCCCTCCCTCCCTCTCCTTCCCTCTCCCCCCCGTCCCAGGTCCCAGCCCGCCGCCGCCTGAAGGCTGGAGCCCCGACGGAGCGGCCGCGCGGCAGTCAGGCGCGGGCACGGCGCCCCGACAGGGCGGGACGCCCCTGCCATGCGGTCGCGGGCGCGAGCGAAGCGCGGTGCGTCCGCCGGTGGTCGTCCCTGCCCCGGATCCAGGCGACGCGCATTTGGACGCCCGATATGTCGGGAGCGGAAAAAGAGGGGGGGTGATGACTAGGGGGGGGGGATTTCATGGCGCGGGCCACGATTTTTCCACAGATTTCATGGCGCCTCTTCTGATTTCATTACGTCCCAGGCCCCCCCGCTGGGCCGCGCACGTGCCGCCCGTCATGATTTGCACCCCCCCTCTTGGACCCCCCCCCCTCTTGGCCGCTCCCGAAAATGGGTACGGAAAGAATGGGTACAATGCCCAACAGCAGCTCCTGTTCATTCTGAGCAGGACTCGCTGTCCACGCCGCCGCGGCCTGTGTCCATTCGAGACAGGAGGCCGCCTGCCCAACAGCGGCCGCTGCTGGTATGGGACAGCATTTGTTGTTGGGCATTGTACCCATTCTTTCCGTACCCATTTCGGGCGTCCAAAGCGCACTAACAAAATGCGATGCCCGGTACTTGGACGTTTGCGGGCGTTTTCTCTAGTCTGGGGCAGGCTTACTTCCGTGGCATTTCGTCACCCGTCTCCCCCCTGCCCTCCGCCACCTTCGCAAACAGCACTAGGCCGCAATGGCGCGCAAGTGAGCCCCGACTTGCGTGGAGTCCAAGTCTCCCCCCGGGTTTCGCCGAGCCCCCCCGCTTGTTGCGGGAGCCTATCGTAGAAAACGGGCTTATGCTCGGTCCTGCCTTCTCCCGGCCCCGGGACGGCCAAGAATCGATTTGGGTGCCCGCGTCGCGAAGAAACGCTACGACGTTCGGGACTCGAGGGCCCTCCTCCCCCCGCGCGTTCGAGTTCTTCGTGACGTGGGCCACGCCTGGGGGGGTGGCATCACCTTACCTCGGTGTCGATCGCAATGACTCCCCTAGTCCCTGAGGGCACGTGCTTAAGGTTGTCTTTGCCTTGGGCTTGCCAGCCTTAGGGATAGGGATAAGCTCGAGGCTGGCTGTGGGCTTTCCCTCCGGCGGCCGCTCGTTGGCGGCCCCGAGGCCCAGGGGGGCGCCACCCGCCAGACGAACGCATTTCATAACCGGCCGTCGCGATCGCGGCCCCCAACGCCCAGATCTCAGGGGGTCGCCGCCGCCGAATCGTCGTCGCCGTCGTCGTCGTCGTCGTCGTGGTGGTGGTGGTGGTGGTGGTCGACGTCGCCGTCGAGTTCGTCGGTGTGGTCGCCGCGGGCGCTGCGGGGTGCAGCGCGCTGCGTCCGATGCTGGTCGTCGCCGTCGAGGTCGCCGCCGCCGCCGCCACGGCCTTTCGTCGAGGAGGACGGGGGAAGAGGAGGAGGAGGCGGAGGAGGACAGGGAGAGGGAGGGGGAGGAGGAAGAGGAGGAGGAGGAGGAGGAGGAGGAGGAGGAGGGAGAGGAGGAGGCTGAGGAGGAGGAGGAGGAGGAGGAGGAGGAGGAGGAGGAGGATGGGGGAAGGCGAGGGGATCGAGGTTCGAGGCATGCTCCAGATGGCCTTGGTGCTTCCTGTGTCTCGGAACTCTGGAGAGACCCCTGCTGAAGGCAAGAGCTTCTGGCACGGACTTGGCTCAGGAGGGAAAAAAGCACACAGACACGATGAATCGTCGATCCCCCAGAGAATGTGGGAAAACATGGGAAGTGGGGGGGAAGACAAACACCCAGAAACTATGGGAAACTATGGGGCATCTTTTTATCTGTGTGTATTTCTTTGTGTGTCCTGTGGGCCCCTTCACTTGGCCCTCTCTGGGCCTCGGGGCCCAGGAGACCTCCTGCAGGAGACCTCCGGAGCTCTTCGGCTGCTGGGAGTTCGCCGCCGTGGCCGCCGCCGCCGATCGGTCCGTCGATGGTCCGGGGCCCTCTTCGGACCCGGGAGCGTCGGAAGTCTGTCGGGGGGGAAACGTGTTGCGGGACCCCGCGGGGTCTGGGGAAGGATTGCAAAAAGGATTGCAAAAAAAACCTAGGATTGCAGAAAAAAAGGATTGCAAGAAAAAACCCTTGGACGAAGGATTGCAAAAAAACCCTTCGTTCAAGGTTTTTTTGCAATCCTTCGTTCAAGGTTTTTTTTGCAAATCCTTGGTTTTTTTGCAATCCTTCGATTCTGAGCGGATTCCGATTGTCGGCATCATCGTCGCCGTCGCCGCCGCTGCTGTCGTGGTCGTGGTGGTGGTGGTCGTCATAGTCGCCGCCCCGGGGGTATGTCGTAGTGGTCGTCATCGCAGTTGTATTGGTTGTTTTTGCCGCCGAGGTCGTATTGGACGTTGTCGCGGTCGTCGTCGTCGTCGTCGTCGTCGTCGTCGCCGTCGCCGTCGTCGTCGTCGTCGTCACCGATGGCGAAGATCTCATCGTGGTCGTTTCTCTCCCTCCCTCCTCTCCTGCTTCTCCTCCTCCTCCTCCTCCTCCTCCTCGGCTCGTTTCGGTTCGGTCGCAGGCAAGAGGGTCGATATGCCTATACAGATCAGGGGCAGAGAATAAGGATGCAGGGGAGAGGAGCAGAGGCAGCAACAGACATCCTGAAAGAAGAAGGAGGACGCCGAAGCCGCTCAGACGCGCGAGCCCACACGGGGCACTCACCTGAGCTACTACTTTCAAAACACGATTGCACATGCGAGGCGGGCAAACAAAGGCCAGAAGCGAGGGTGAAGAAGAGCCTTCAATCAGATGAGGGCGGAACAGGCGCATCGCATCCCTGGATGCGAAACTTTGTTGCTGTTTTTTTCAAATTCGAACGGACAGGGCGGCAACCAGCGAGGTTGCGGCATCATCTTCACACGAAAGTCCTTCCCGCTATCTGAGCAACAGTCCTTGGGTAAGGGAGGAGTGACGGTGAGTGAAGGTCCTCACATCGCACAGTAGAGGTCGGTCAGCCGTGTGGGCGCCTGCGAGTAGCACGGAGCATATAATCGGAAGTGAAGTGAGACTCACTGTAGGGGTCAAGACGGGCGTGACATCTTCTGAGGCCCTCAGGGAGGAGCCAGCCATCTTCTGGGTCCGAGAGGTCTACGTTGCGTCTGAGCTCCGCCTCTCTATTGAGCGATCAGGCAAGGGGCCTGTCATCGCTAAACACCGAGCCTGGAGCGCTGCCCCTCGGGATTCCTGTCTGGATAACGTACGAGAGTTCTAGATACCCTGCTCCTGAGGTCGTGGAGTAGTGTCGAAGCCAGCATCTGGCACATGTCAGAGGTGAGGCTTTGGCCGCTGCTGCGCCCCAGACATCCGAAAGTGGGAGCCAGTCGAGCGCAGGATGCGGTCGTGCATTGCATGGTTGCAAGGAGGACCCCTTCGCATCTGAGAAAACCGCTGAGACGTTACTGGCACATATATGGCAAGCAAAACTGCTGGTTTGAGGAACCTGGCCCCAAATCGGCACTGGTGGATGGTATGATTACAAGCTCCTGGCATAGAAACGAGGTCCTTAACCTCGGGGAGCAAACACGAGGGCATCCTGGCACATAGGACGCACGTGCCGGGTGTTCCATGACAGCTGGAATTTTGGACCTTCCAAGCCTCATACACGAAAGTTAGAGCTGTCCTCACCAACTTATTAGCCACCGAGACTTGTTCAGATTCAAACTTAGACAGGTGCCCTAGCCCCCATAAGTGTTGATCCGCCCTCAGCGGGCGAGGGGTTCTCCCAGCTTTGGGGGAAGGCCTGTGTCTGGCCGAAGACCAGGACTCGCAAGGGGGGGCCGCCAGGACTGCCGCAACCTGGTCCGATCCGAGGATTTTTAACCGAGTGGCAATGGACTCCTGATCTGTCAACTCTCCGAGGGCAGGGTGGTTGGCAGTGTCAATACTCAGGACAACACGCTCAGTGGGAAGTGCATCTAGGAGCGTCCAAGTGATCCTGAAAGTCGCTCGGCTTCCTGCGCCCCGAGAGAAGAGGTCACAACTGTGCGTGGTCTAGCGGGGAGGCGAGGAAGAGACAAGGCCCAAACAGGGGGACATGTCAGAGCCCCGAATCATCAGGGGTAACTCGGGTCGGGGCTAAGTCGGGTTCGCTTTTCGGGAGTCCGAACCCGAGTTATCCCGGACCCGAGTTACCCCGGATATTTCGGGCGTCCAGAGCCCCGAATCATCAGGGGTACCTCGGGTCAGGGCTAACTCGGGTTCGTTTTTCGGGAATCCAAACCCGAGTTACCCCGGACCCGAGTTACCCCGGATAACTCGGGCGCCCAAACATGGGGAGGGGGGCGCCAAGGGGTGGATCGCTGGTCGGGCACTCTTCCTGCACGCCTTGGGCCTGGGGGCGGCAGAGGGCCCCTGACAGTCAGTCGGGCCTGCCCCCTCTACAGGAGGAATCTTCAAACATAGTCGCTCAAATCGTATGGGGGCGATGCTTTTGACTATGTTTGAGCATGTTTGGGATGTGGTTTGGCTATGCTTTACTTTCCGTCCAAAACTCCGCCTGTAGGGGGGCGTGCCCGACCTAACCCTGACACTGCAACCAGGGGCCCGGAGCGTGGGTGTCCGATCTGCCAGCAGCTCGGTTAGCTGCCGCCTCCTTCTTGGCCTGCTCCCCAGCTTCGTGCAGCTCTTCAGCGGAGGTCAGTATCGTTCAACCGATCCCCATCCCCATCCCCATCCAGACCCTCATCATCTCATCCCCCAGTTGGGGATATACCCTTCGAAATCTGACAGAAACTACCTATACAGTGTCCCCATCCAGGGGGGTAAACCGGCCAGTGGGGCGCGAGTGGGGATAGGGATCGGTTAAAGGATGCTCAGGAGGGGCGGTGACTGACCATTTTCTGGAGCAGGGACCTCAGTGGCAAAGGAGTTGAGCCGTGGTTCGTCTTCTCTAGCAAGCTGCGGCCATCCAAGGGGGTCACTCCAGTCGGAGTCCAGAACTGGTGGGCTTGTTTTCCACCACCACCACCATAAGTTGGAGCGGGAGGGGGTCCTCCTCCACCTCCACCTCCTCCTCCTCCTCCTCCTCCTCCTCCTCCTCCTCCTCCTCCTCCTCCTCCTCTCCGTCCTCCTCCTCCTCCTCCTCTCCGTCCTCCTCCTCCTCGTCCTCCTCCTCCTTCCCCCCCTCCAACTTGTGGTGGTGGTGGTGGTGAAAAACGGGCCCATCGGGAACCGCACGGCGCAAAGGCTGGTCCCTCAGTTTGAGATGCGGGGCAGGAGAGCCTGAGGCCGCCTGAGGCCGCCCGGTCTCAGAACCGCAGCTGCTGGTAGCCGCGGCACGTCGAACCAACCTTCGGCCAAGTCATCGGCATATTTTCACCGATCCCCATCCCCATCCCCAGCCCCTTCGAGACCCCCACCAACTTACCACCCCAGTTGGGGATGCACCCCTCGAAACCTTAAGGGAACGGCCCGTATCCCCATCCAGGGGGTGAACGCCGCTGAGGATGGGGATCGGAGAAACGATGGTCAATTCATGGTGCTCATCAGCACTGTCGGAGGCAGCCAAACCCAAAGCGACCCTGTAAATAGAAATGTGGGCCATGTGGAGTCTCCTGGTGAGCTGAGCATTGAGCCTGGTCCAGACTGATGCCCCAAAGAAAAAGCACCGAGAGGGCCCGAGCCTCGGCTAGAGCGACCTTCCCCTCACCGACAGGGCAGAGCGTGGGGCTACGGAGGAGCGAATGGGTTTCAGGGCCCGTTTGGTCTTAGCTGCCTTAGCAGCCACGTCCGGCCCCAGGGATCCATGCACGGCAACCCGGGATCGAACGTTTTCTGAACGGGGGTGAGAGGAAAGCTAAACCCCCAAGAGTAGGATTGAACGTTCCCTCTGCCCTCCGCAGGTTCTCATCGCCATCGGCATCATCATCATCATCATCATCATCATCATCATCATCATCATCATCATCATCATCATCCGCATCATCATCATCATCACCATCATCATCATCATCATCATCATAATCATCATCATCATCACAATCACCATCAGCATTATCATCCTAATCACCATCGCCGTCAACATCACAATCATCAACGTCAACATCATAATCACCATCATCACTACCATCATCACTATTGTGATCATCAGACTCGTTATCATGGTCGTCGTCATCATGATCCTCACGATCATCATCATCATCATCATCATCGTCATCGTCATCATCATCATCATCATTATCATCATCATCATCCTTATTACTATCATCGTCATCACCATCAGCAGCAACAGCATCGTTATCATCATCAGCATCACAATCATCAGCATCATCATCAGCATCATCATCGCCATCAGCATCAGCACCACCATCATCATCAGCATCATTACCGCCATCGGTATCATCATCGGCGTCATCATCATCATCATCATCATCATCATCATCATCATCATCATCATCATCCGCATCATCAGCATCGTCGTCATCAGCGGCTCACCTACTCCAGGTTGGCTGTAGCAGGCTCTTTGGTTTTGATGTGTGTCTCCCGCCTCCTCGGTCTCCTCCTTCGCCGTCGTCGTCCTCCTCCTCCTCCTCCGGCGGAGATGGACGCAATCTGTTTTAACAGTTTTAACGCCGGTTTGATTTCTTTTATTGTTTTGTGCACTCTCCTTTAGCTTGTCGTTGTGTGCTGTCTATTTAATGGTCGGTTGGACCTCGTTGGGATGCACACACACAGCGTCATTCTGGCCTTGACGATGGGTGCCGTCAAAACCCTCTTCAGGGGATGCGGATTCAATACTACATCAGAGCTGTGGAAGATGTAAAAAAAAGCATCGTCGTCATCAGCATCATCTTCACCGTCACAATATACTTGGTCAGCACTCGCATCATCATCATCATCATCATCATCATCATCAGCATCATCATCAGCATCGCCATCATTAGCACCACCATCATCATCAGCATCATTGACACCATCAGTATCATCGTCATTATCATCATCATCATCATCATCATCATCATCATCATCATCATCATCATCATCATCATCATCATCATCATCATCATCATCATCCGCATCATCACCATCATTGTCATCATCATTAACATCAGCATCACCATCATCATCATAAGATCAATCATACTATCCACCACCATCGTCACCATCATCGTCATCATCATCAGCACCACCATCACCATCTGCCTCATTACCACCATCGGTATCATCATCGTCGTCATCGTCGTCATCATCATCATCCGCATTATCACCATTGTCGGCATCATCATTATCATCAGCATCACCATCATCAGAGTATCCATCATAATATCCATCATCACCATCATCACCACCATCGTCACCATCATGATAAACATTATCATCATCCTCATCATCATTATCCTCCTCCTCCTCCTCCTCCTCCTCCTCATCATCATCATCATCATCATCATCATCTCTTCTAGTTTATGGGGTGCATGGGCAACGACGGCAGTTTTTCACATGGCAGTGGCGGCACAGCGTCGAATTCGATTCGTGACTCAGCATGTCAGAGCATGCGCATGTAGGGAGACAGCAAAGACTACATTCCCCTTTTCTCGTGCCAGAAGAGGAGAGGGTGGTGGAGGCTTCCAGAGGGCTAGAAGAGCACTTTCTGTTCGTCATGGTTATAGCATCTAGCAGGTCCCGCTATGGTCTAGGCTTTAGGGTGCCTCCTGGGAATGGGGGAATGGGGGACGACTGGGAGGGGGAGGTGGTGGTAGGAGGGGGAGGAGGGGAAGGACGAGAGCTGGGCCCGGGCAGGACGAGATGGAGGGAGTCGAGGGCAGAGCCGAGAGAGGAGCAGCGGGTGGCCGCGCCGAAGGGAGCGAGTGCTGCGCCCGGGCCTGCAGCTGCTATTTTTTTTGTCACAGGGCGCGGGCATCAGGACCGCCTGGAGAGGGGGGGCGTGCTCTCGGCCTGACTCTCACGACCCTGCTCGCTACCCCTCATCCTCCCCCTTGGCTCCTGCACCTCCGGATGCTCTGCCTCCTCCTCCATGCCGCTGCCCTCGCTCCTACACCACCTCTCCACCGCCTCCTCCTTCCCCCCCCCTGTCTTCAGGTCGCGAGGACCGCCCCTCTCCCCCCCCGTCTGCGTGCAATGTCGCTGGCGTACCCGTCGCCCATGATGGGCTCCGGCTCGCACGATGGCTTCGGCCCGGACCAGATGTCGGGGCTCATGGAGATGCTGGGGGTATCGCGCCGAGCTCTTGGAGGAAGAGGCTACACGCCGGTCGTTGAAAGTAGGTATTTTTGGATTCCCAGAGCCCAATCTACTTCAAGCGCCTTCCTACTTCAAGAATCGATATGCTTTTGCTCTGTTTTGTTATTCTCTGGGAGGACCTGGACCCAATAAACTATATCCGCCTTCCTACTTCATGTTTCTACCTGCTCCTTCTGACCGACGTGTAGAGAAGGGATGGGCTTCCTGGTCCACCGCTGACCCCCCCCTGCGTCTCCCCATCGCAGCGCCTGCGCCGACGTCGCTGCTGTGCTCCGGGCCTCTCCGTGCAGAGCGTGGGCTCGGCGAGTCTCCCTTCTGCCGCCACACGTGCACCACGGAGTTGTGGCCGTCACCGGAGCCAGCACAGAGGAGGGGCTGGATAGGGGACGGTCTGGGACGTCTTTAGGGGAACAAGAAGTGACATGAACATAAAAACTCGGAGGTCCGCGCGGATTTCTCGGATCGGCGCTGGGGCCCCCTGGGGGCGCCTCCGGCGCCGCCCCTGGCGCGCTCCGCGCGCCAGGGAGGGGGATCCAGCGCCGATCCGAGAAATCCGCGCGGACCTCCGAGTTTTTATGTTTATGTCACTTTTTGTTCCCCTAGTCTTACCATTTGGGGGGGCGAGGGTTTTTTGTTGGAGGCCCTGGCTGGCTTTCCGGGGGTCCGGGGGAATGGTCCATGGTGGCGCGAGGAGAGGGAGGGCTGAGGAGGGGGGGAAGCAAGAGGAAAGGGAGGAGGAGGACCAGGAAGAGCAGGAAGACAAGGATGACGCAAGATTCTGGCCGCACAGCCGATGGAGTGCCACGATGAGGCGTGTCCTCTCCGACGTTGGACGAGCTATTGGCTTTCATGGCTGGTATCGGAGGTGCCTACGGCAAACCACCGCCCCTGCCTTTTGAAAAGGAAACGGGCGGCGGTGGTTCACATGTGGAAGCGTCTATGTAGCTAAACGGTGGGCCGAAGTCTTCCTAAGCTGTTGGGTAATGCGTTCCCCGAGCCCTTGTGGAGAACCCTCAAAGAGCATTCGGGGTATAAGGTATAAGGGAAGGAGGAGGAGGAGGAGGAGAGGGAGGAGGATGACGAGGAATAAGAGGAGGAGAATGAGGAATCTATGAGGCCCCTTGATCTCCCCTTGAGGCCTCCAATGGGCCTCTTTGAGGCCTCTGAGGGCCTCTTGGGGGCCTCCTGGGGCGTCTTGGGGCCTAGAAGGTGCGGCTTGGTCTTCGGAGGCCGTCATGGGGGACACTCTGCCAGGGGCCCTCTTGGGACCTGTTTCGGGCCGTCTTGGAAGTTTATTCGGCCGTCTTGGGGCCTTCTTGGGGCCGGCTTGGTGGCCGCTTGGGGTCCTCCTGGCCAGTCGTGGGCCCTCTTGAGGGCTCATGGGGCCGTCTTGGTGCTCTTTTGGAGGCCTCTGGTGCCGTCCTCGTGTGTCGAAAGCTCGAAACAGGCGAGAACCCGAAACGCATTGAGAAATCTACAGAGCATTCATGATGTCGGCCTCCTGGAGGTCCTCTTGACGCCCTCTGGGGGCGTCTTGGGGCCTCTTTGGCCGTCTGGAGGTCATCGTGGGCCGTCTTGGGGTCATCTTGGGCCGACTTGGGTGCAATCTTGGCCGTCTTGGGGGCGTCTTGGGTAGTCTTGAAGGCCATATTATACCATCTTGAGCCGTCTTGGAGGCCATCAAGGAAGCCATCTGGGGCGTCTTGCTGGCAGATGAAGCTCCACTGTGGGTCGCACGGGTCTTCCTGGTGGGCTTGCGGTATTTGCCGAGACACCATCGGGAATGTGCCGGACGGTTTCACGACAGGAAAACATGTTTCATGCTTCGCGTATCCCCAACAGCCCGTTCAGAAGCTCTGCCCAATAGAGATGACCGGAAAGGGACGCAAAGACACACATCGTGAAACAGAGCGGGCACTCAGGGTGAACAGGGAGATGTCTGGGAGCAAGGGGGTGGCCTTGAGAAGCCTCTTCGGGCCATCCGTGGGGAGCGCCGGGTTTTTTGTCTGGTCCTCCCCATGCGGTGTGGGGAGCGAAGTCGGCGCCAGACGCGAGGCGTGCACGGCGTTCGGAGCGGCGCGGAGCGCGCGCGGCGTGCACGGCAGCCCCAAGCCGGGGCACCTGACAGGAGCACACGCCGTCCGAGACCCCAGGAGGGGTCCCTCCCTCCCTCCCTCCCTCCCTCCCCCTCCTCCTCCTCCTCCTCCTCCTCCTCCTCCTCCTCCGCGCATGCCCCACCCCCGCGGGGACGGCCCGAAGTCCAGAAGTCCCGGCTCCCCAGGAGCCGAGCCAAGGAGCCCCTCGGAGACCAGGCCCCCAGATACCCAGGAGACCAGGACACCGAGGCCCCAGGAACGGGACGAATGAGGGAGCGCGACGCCCACCGCCGCCGCTCCGCGCCGAGCCCGCAGTCCTCGAATTCGTCTTTTGTCTCGTTCAACTGCGCCGACACGTTCTCCAGAGCCTTCATGATGGTGGGTGTGACGATGCCCTCCAGCTACCTCTGCTTCCCAAGGACGCCCCTGCACGCGTGTCCAGACTTGCTCAGCCAGAGGAGAGTGTCCTGGACCGCCTTCTCGATCATCACCGTTTCGCAGTACACAAGAAATCCTGCAGCTTTTCCTCCTGCAGGAAGTTGCTGATGGTGAAGCAGTAGTTCACGAGGCCGAGTTTCGCTGCGGACCCGGCCTGTTCCAAAGGCAGCCTCGCTTTCGGTTGCCATTCGACGGCCGCTCCCACCTTGTCGATCTAGTCGCGATCCGCTTCCTCCATGTCCTCCTGGTGGTGTGGCACCTCCGTCGGCACGTGCTTCCGGTTGTCCATGGCCGTCGTGATGATCGGGCCGACGAGACCCTCCAGCTCCTTGAGCTTGCTCTCGTTGCCGAAGGCGCCCGCGGTGTCTGGCAGGGTAAGCCAGTGGAGGGTGTCCGCCACCGCCTTCTCGACCTTCACTTGTTCGCCGTACTCAGTGAGACACGGCATCTTCTCTTCCAGCATGGTATTGCGAATGGTGTACAGTAGTTATCGAGGCCGAGCTTGCCCTAATCGGTCAGGTCCAAGGGCAGCTTCGCCGTCGGCGGTTGCCAATGCAATGCCGCTCCCATCGAGATATTGCAGCTGCCCGTATCGTCGCCGTCGACCTGTTCGGCTAAGCCGCTGTCCAAAGGGCTCGCCAGTAGGAACTCTGGCAGCTCACCGAGGTCGCTATCCTCATACTCGGTCGTCATACTTCGACGCCTAACCTCAGCCAGTATTTAAGAACCCCCCGGCCCCGTCCCGCTTGAGGATAACGCTTCCGCACTGGGAAGCCCCAGGAGGCCATGATTCCCGCGCGCAAAGGAAGATGTGGCTCTCGCCTTAGCGCCGCGCGCATTCGCTTCAAAAACTCGCAAGAGCTTCACGGATGGCGGGCGGTTTGTGACTCTCGCCTCAGCGCCGCGCGCGTTCGTTTCAATCATGTGCAAGAGCTTCGCAGATGGAGGTCGGCTCGTTTTCAAAAGGTTGTTCTCGCGTGAACGCCGCGCACATTCGTTTCAAAACGTTACAACAGTTCTACGGGGTGGAGGGCGGCTCGTTTTCAAAATGTCGCTTTCGCCGCAGCGCCGCGCACATTCGTTTTGAAAAACATGCAAGACCTTCCCGGATGAAGGGCGGTTTGTTTTCAAATTGTTGTTCTCGCCTCAGTGCCGCGCACATTCGTTTTGAAAAACGTGCAAGGGCTTCGCGGATGGAGGGCGGCTCGTTTTCAAAATGTCGTTTTCGCTTCAGCGCCGCGCGCATTCGTTTTCAAAACGTTGCAATAATTTCACGGATGGGGGGCGGCTCGTTCTCAAAATGTTACTCTCGCCCAAGCGCCGCGCAGATGCGTTAGAAACGTTGCACGAGTTTCAAGAATGGGGGCGGCTCGTTTTCATTATCCCAGTGCGACCCTACCTAGGAGTTGGAGCCCCTAGGAAAGCAGCATTAGCAGTAACAGTAAAGCTAAGCTAAAGCTAAGCTGAAGCTAAGCTAAAGCTAAGCTAAAGCTAAGCTAAGGCTAAGCTAACACTAAGCTAAAGCTAAGCTAAAGCTTTGCTGAAGCTAAGCTAAAGCTAAGTATAAGCTAAAGCTAGGCTAAAGCTAAGCTAATGCTAAGATAAAGCTAAGCTGAAGCTAAGCGAAAGCTAAGCTAAAGCTAAGCTAAGGCTAAGCTAAAGCTAAGCTAAAGCTAAGCTAAAGCTAAGCTGAATCTAAGCTGAAGCTAAGCTAAAGCTAAACTAAATATAAGCTAAAGCTAAGCTAACGCGAAGCTAAAGCTAAGCTAACGCTAAGCTAAAGCTAAGCTAACGCTGAGCTGACGCTAAGCTAAAGCTAAGCTAAAGCTGAGCTAAAGCTAAGCTAACGCTAAGGTAACACTAAGCTGAAGCTAAGCTAAAGTTAAGCTACAGCTAAGCTAAGCTAAAGCTAAGCTAAAGCTGAGCTAAAGCTAAGCTAAAGCTAAGCTAAAGCTAAGCTAAAGCTAAGCTGAAGCTAAGCTAAAGCTAAGCTAAAGCTGAGCTAACGCTAAGCTAAAGCTAAACTAAATATAAGCTGAAGCTAAGCTAAAGCTAAGCTGAAGCTAAGCTACAGCTAAGCTAACACTAAGCTGAAGCTAAGCTAACACTAAGCTGAAGCTAAGCTAAAGCTAAGCTAACACTAAGCTAAAGCTAAGCTAAAGCTAAGCTAAAGCTAAGCTAAAGCCTAAGCTAAAGCTAAAGCTAAGCTAAAGCTAAAGCTAAGGCTAAAGCTCCCAGGGGACTGGGGGAACCGCGGGGCGGGGACTGGGGGAACCGCCCGGGGCGGTTAGCATTGCCCGGCCCTTTAGGCTAAGAGAGTAAGAACCCTTCTAGGCAGAGCCTAGGTAGGGAAACATATTGTTGGTTGCGCGCGTTCGTTTTGAAAACGTGTCAAGAGCTTCGCGGATGGAGGGCGGCTCGTTTTCAAAATGTTGT